TGATTGGGCAATCGCACTAAGCTCGTTAACTGATTTTTGTTTAGTTGAAGAGAAACCGGAACTGGCCCAAACAGGTTGGGGGAAATGGTCAGTGGTTTCTGTCTCCGATTCCGAGTCAGAAGAATCCTCCGCTGCAGGAGGCACAATTTTGCGCTCCTCTATGGCAGCGTTTTGAGGAGCTTCTCTAGAGAGGGTACAAGAGGCCATGCTTACGGAACGAGTGCCGTCATCGGGAGCGCGGGAGGCGCCTATTTCTGCGCGAACCGAGTCGGGACCACCTGAACGGTTGCGTGGTTGTAAGTCGTACTCGACACCCATACCTGCTGCTGAAGAACGTGCGACCGCATGAGCCTCCTGAGCCGGAGATTTTCTGTGGCCCTTCCCGTCGCCTATAAGTGAATTAAGAAGACCGGAAGTGCAACCTTACTGGCTTGCTACCGCTTTCTTTTTATTCATATGACGACACGAAGCCCAAAGACAGTAATATAAAAAAGAAACAAGCTTAAGTTATTGTTTTCAAAGCTGTACAAAATGCAATTCGGTAAAATGTATACAAAGGCTCCCGAAAAAAAAGATTTCGGAAACTGCAAACTGGAGAACTTAGTTTGATCGACAAGGAACACATATGATACAGTAGGTACATGCGGCTAGAGCCAGGGATGATAAGAGGTATAATGAACAAAATGTGAAGCTCGCAGAACTTTTCGGCCGCGCCCGAAAAAGAGACGAGTGTAGCTGGCTATTGTCATAGTAGCGCAAGAGACCACAAAAGCTTGTGTTCAGAGATCTCTTAGTATGGGAGGGAGCATAGTTAAAAAGTCTAAACTATGCGAGAAATTGCAATGCAGTGCAGGGGAATTTCATCGGGACTCACTATCCGCTTTAGAGTCAGAGGAGTCACTCTCACTTGAGCCTGTAGTAGATTCGGAGTCACACGAACTTGAAGAGGCACTCAACCGGTTAGAAGACTCTAGAAACGTATGAAGAGTTAGACGCAAAGATCACGATAACTTACGATTTTTCTTTCCTTGCTGCATAGGATGATAACCACTTGCGTTCATGGGCATTCCGCCAATCTGTCGCAGACGCGACTCTAGCTCCTCCTCTTTCTTTTTCATCGATTCTTCACGAGATTTGGACGGAGCTGCTCCAGTGCTACTCTTTTTCATGTACTTCCGTGCGCTTGATTTTGCCTTCTGAAGGACAGACGTTACGTAACGTTCAAGCTCGCGAAGAGTAGAGTGCTGCAACGTTTCGAAGTCAATCTCTATCTCATCGGGATTGCAATCCCTGTGAGAAGGCTCCCGCTGTTGTATAATTTGTACAACGCGACCCAGTTTCTCTCCAGGGAGTTTATTTATATCAAGACTAAGCTGGCGCTTCTCATCGTACGTCATTGGGCGGACACTGGCTTCAGTGGAAAATTCCTCGTCCGTGGTATAGCAAGGCATCGGTAAGGTATTTTGAGCCGTAGCGATAGCGGGAGCCAGTTGGGTCGAGGGCCCAGTCTGGGGTACGCCCGCAGCCGGACCTGCAGGTGGATAGGCAACCGCATCTTTAACAAGAGTAATTATATGTCAAGAGACTTACTTTGGGCTCTGCGCTTAGTTTTCGGTTGTGACTTTGGC